TCTGCATACTGCATAAGATGACCTCCGACTGGTCCCGGGATAGGATGAATGCTGAACTTGGGTCGATGTCTGTGAGTCCGGCTGGTTCAACTGGATTCAATGTGGTTGTATCTTTGATCTTCTGTAGTTCTAAATCGTTGTCCGTTGGGCAGGCAATGTCGGTAGGATCTGAAGGGGTCTGCAGATTTCTGGTTGAGTCATTTCCGGCGGTATCCCCCTCAGACTGCCTCTGCCTCTGCTTCGTTTTCTCTGCGAAGTGGGATGATCATCTTTGGAGTTCCTATACTTGGGTTGAAACGATCTGTCCTTCCATGTAGAGGCTCGAAAAGAATCCAGGCCAGAATTCACATGACGAGATCTGGGATTCTGTTGTTGATGCTGGATATCTGCAGGCCGTCTCTGTATCCTGGATGCCAATGAGATCGTGGATTCTTGAAACTTCTGACTAGTTGACGATGCAATGGCTTCCTTCACTGACTTCAGTCTTCCGTTGAATATCTGTGACGCTGTAATAGGCTGTGACAGCATGGATCTTCTTAATGGTTCTGGGATCATACGATGAACTTGCTGTAGTAGATGTTTTCTTTGCATGAGCAGGAACTGTGCTGACATCCAGATTTGTGCTGATTGAAGATCTTCCTGCATCTTCAGCATGTGGTCCAGTGAGCTGTGAATGAATCCGGTCTGCTGTAGTGTCATCTCCGTGGGGGTGTCTAAGGATAGACCTTCGCTTTGGTTGTTCGGGGGTATGATGTGGCGAACTCCAGCTGCAATCCAGTTAATGTATGAACTGATATTAATCATCTGTTTGTTGATGTAATCTAAGTCCCTGGTTTTTGCCATGTCAACGTGCATTTTGGTGTTAGGTTTCTTAACCAGATCATAGAAATCTTCATCAATACTCGGCTGTTGTGCGAAGGGGGCATCGTGTGTCCTGTAAGCACTCTTATTAATGGCAGGCATACCCAGTCTAACATTATGTGCCGATGAAGCGTTCAATGAATCTTAAATTCACTTGATGACGTCATCAATATATGACGGACATGGGAGGGTATGGAATTCTTCAGTCTTACTGAGAGCTTCTTCATACCCAGCACGTTCTAACAAGGGTTTGACGGGCGTTTTGTGATTGTTATCTGGTTGTAAGGCGGGCATTAGATTATAAAGTTCTGCAATGATATCATTAACTGGTGTGTATTTCTGTGCATACTGCGATGCGATGCCCGTGATTCACGATCTACCCTATGCTGTGCGTGGTAGGGAGGTAATCTATGAGATTCTCGATCTCTTTTTATGACTCTCCTACTGTCCTCATAATGATCTGATTCAGCTTGACCTTGTGCATGTCTGCTGTATGAGGGTGTTCTGCCATATTCAGCCTCTTTTGAATCTCATGATCAATCCCTGTTTAGCCATGCCAGGGTTGTGTGACAGATTCTTTGAGATATGAGATTTCCTGAGACATTGATTGCATATGTTTGTCAATCATTACAGACATTGAATTTGTTATTTTCTCCATGAACTCATTTAAGTTAAAGGGGGAGCGTGGCATAGAGTGGAGATCAGTTGCTTCTTCCAAGCCTAGATTATCCACCTTACCATTCGCTACCGGATGTACGTTACAGGCTACAGTAAAGTCTGAAAGGTACATCGGCTCCTTAACTATATTGGGAGAGTGGGATGAGCGTCAAGATCTCTTCTCCTCACAAGGCGAGACGGCGTCCCCAGGCGACACTCGCTTGTTACCCATGTGATTATCTTTACTAGTCTCAGCAGACTTAATCACTTTTTTTACATGAAGCAGAAGAATATTTAGCTGATGCTCTAGTATTCTTTTTGTCATCCTGATCATTGAGCCATGCCTTGGAAAGTTTTTCAAACTTCTCCTTCGACAAAGGTTCGCAAAAACTGCATCTTGATTTTTGCGTGCAATTGCTTTTCTTGCATGATAGGCATCTAGGGTGAGGGTCACCAGGGTTTTGATGTTGCCCACAGCCTGAACAGACGGGATCTCATCCCACAACACGTTCTCTAACTAATTACTTACTAGATCTTTCAGCCTTCTCATACCCCCTTGTTCTCTGCTTGTAGAACTGCTCACTGCTTGTCTTTAGTGAAGCTTGAGATGGTCTAGTGTTGTAAGTGTGGAACAGCAATCATGTGTACAGATGTATGCAACAAAAATTTCCTTGTCATCTGGACACACAAAAGAGAAGTGATAGATTCCCGCCTTACGCATGCACAGTGGCGCCCCTGGCGAGGGATAGGGTTTCCCTCACAACTATTAGATATATTGCCAGTGAAGAGGACGTCTGTTGAAAATTTATAAAAAAATTGTGGTGTGGTTCTCAGCATAAACAGGAATTTATGGCAATGATGTAATAGAGGTAGGGTATTCACAAGAATTATATATTTACGCCAATAAATGATACAGTGGGTATTTGCCACATTCAGCAAGGATTTGGCTACCAGTATATATCCTTTTCCTACACCGAGAACAAGTTAAGTTAACAGTGAAGAGAGATTTTACATGAATTGAGCGTCACTTTAGAAGTTGCACATATCATATAGTCTTGTTATCACAGATATTTGGAACAGTTTTTGATCCTCATTGGACAGGGAAACAGGAGTCTGAGAGGACAGGAGACTGCAGACAAGATCATTGTCGGATCTTTCTTGGAGTTCCACAGGACCAGAGTTGATGATGTCACACCCCAGCATGTCTCGATACATGCATACAGTCTCACATTGACACAGGGCGTGTGTTAGAGGGTCGTCACTGCGTAGACCACAGAGAAAGCAGCTTCCTTGTACATTGCTGGCTTTCCAGAGGGCACATACAAAACCAATGAACGCACACTGTTTCTTAATGTTTGGATTGGCTTTTATTATGAACCAGGCTGGTCTGAGCTTTCTGGTGGAATGTTTTTCCTGAAATGTTTAAGGTTAGAGTTACTCGGATATTCCATTCCTTCTCTTTGTGGTCATGAATGCATTTCTTTACAATTTTCTTCCAGGAACTTTGCACAGGAAATGTACTACTAATCTTGAAAGCATGTAAGAAGGGTAGAAGAAGATATCTCTCCAGAATGTTCCATAAATTCGGGATGAAGCCATGTGCATTCATAGAACAGTTGCTCTTAAAAAAAGAGTAGACGAGTTAAGACAAGCTGTCCAGCTAATGAGTGAGTGAGTTTGGTTTTACGCTGCTTTTAGCAATATTCCAGCAATATCACGGCGGGTGTCTGGCTAGAAAATGGTTCGGTTACCAAGGAGGAACATTTTCTTTGTGTTGATATGAGATTCCAAAGAATGCCATCGTATTCGTGTATTACAGATGTCAGTCCTTCTTGTTCTAGGCAGGTCTTGGCACATCTTGAGCCAAGATCTTTTCAAGTGAGATTTGTTCACCTTTGGATAAGTTGGTCCAAAGTTCATAGCCAAAGAGTGCCCGGGGAAGGCTGACAGAACGAATCAGACTTGCACTCGTGAGTGGATTAAGACTTTTAGATTGACAGCCAGACTTAAAAAGCATCATCATTGAAGATTTCATTTTTGAGCAAGCATCTATTGTTCTCTCCCAAGATCTGAAGTTGGAATTTAGCTCAACCACTTGAACCAAATGTCCCCAAACCTAAAGGAATACCTTTGTGAACACGTTCTATCCGTTACAGTTCTTTGTTTATCCGCTGGAATACCAAACATCCCTTAATTGAGGATATATTTACTCGCAGAACTGGGTCCGTTTGCTTTTCAGGAATTTATCATTTTCAGGTCTTGGGCTTCCCTGGCAGACATGTTGTTTGTGTCCAGTGCCAAATTATTTACCCCATCATTCATCATTCCTCCTAGTTTAAAGGCAAGATAAAATACTTTATACATTTGGTCTCACATTCAAGAGTATAAGTATCAACACTTTCTGTATTGCTTTAGGGGGATTTGCACCTGCATTATGCTTTCGTGCCTTTACTTATGCACCATGTTAGGATTTGCACCAATGTTCAGTCAGTAGCATCAACCTAGGAAGGTGCTATTACTGTTTGGATATCTTTAACCAGTTCACTTCACCTTCACTTTCCCCCGACTTAGCATCTGATATGAAGGTCGTGTGTTTCTACTGAAGAGTCCAGTGTGGTGCGTCATGAAGGGACTGTTTCAGTGTTTTGCTGTTTTATCCTAATTTTACAAATCAGATCTCAGCTAACTCGCGAGAACTAAGATCTGATTTTAAGGAGATTGATGTTACACGAAAGATTGGTATCAATAACATGATATGTAAGGGAAAAGTTTGGAAAAAGGGCAAATGAGACAGAAATCAAGATATATACAAAGAAAACATGACTGTCTTAGTGAAAACGTAATTTCTGTCCCTTGCTCACCCTTTTCAGTATGTATGTTTAGGAGTTAAACACTGCCATTTCAGATCTGGGTGTTCGATGCTCGGAAATTTCAGCTGGAAGGACACGACAACCAGTGAAGCTCAGCATGTGTCTGCTGTGTAGGAATAACTTCATAGTTATACTTGCCCCTTCCTTACATGTCTGTTATCTGTAGGACGGTGCTGGTGTACAAGTTCTCACTGTCTTACATCCTAAAGTGAGTGAGTTAGTTGGGTTTAATGCTGCTATTAACAGTATTCCAGTTATATCACGCTATGTCAGCTTAATGCAGATCAAAACCGGAAGTGATGCATGTCGCAGACGTTTACCACTTTGGTGAAACCCAGGGCAAATGGTATGGTGCTGACAAACCAAGAAACATATAAAAAAAACCTAAAGATTTCATCACACACAAACAAAGAGAGGAGGCAGTAAGAAACAAAAACACATATTACACAATTTAAATATCTTTTTGAATTGAAAGAGGATAACATTTTCATTTCCTTACCATGAATAGATACAACTTGCGTAATGGTGCTTCATTTTCAGGTTTTCAAAGACCTTGAAATAAGTATTTGGGCTTGGACAAGGATAGCTAAAATTCAGACAATTTAAGATGTGTTGTTTTTTAAAGTATGATTTATTAGAACAATAATGATAACAAATAGTTAAAAGTTAATATGTCATCACAGAAAGGCAGCAGAGAATATATCACAGTGGAAAAGGAGGAGAATCACACAATCGGAAACATATTCATTCAGGTGGTCACTGTGACACACACACACCCACTCACCCACTCACACACACACACACACTCAAACACACACAAACGCATTAACACCCACGCACAAACCAACACAGAGTGACAGACAGACAGACAGACAGACAGACAGACAGGCACTTTTAAAACTCCTGGGACTGAAGTTGAAAATTCAAAATGTGACCCCACTCTCACCCCATAAAGTTACACCCTAACAGTTTGGAATGTCTCCTTTAATCTTTGTAATGGTCTGTTAAAGATTAAAGTTTACAGCTAAGGCTTAGGAAGGCTCAAATCCTTGTGTGAGCTTCTTGAGGTTTACGTGTAGACAAGCTTTCTCCCTTCTCACAGATGGAAATGGAAGTTGGAATTGGGGTCAAGGTGATCACCAAAGAACTTGGCGGCCAAGTCCCGGTTTGGCAGCAGCACCTTCTGTTGGTTCTCCACATTCATCTCACGCTGATGTTTATTTCTCTGTAACTGGGACGGAGTTTTTCTGTAACAATAACATACAGTTCATGAGTAGACAATTAATACCAGGAAAGCAAGACACAATGTACGAGGGCTGAGTGATAAGTTCTGAACCTCACATAGACAGAATTGCATGAAGGGAAAGCTTTGGTTGAGGACATCACATGATGTCATAGACGCATAGCCACAACACATTAAGCATATTGTTATGCTGTGACAAGACAGGTAGAATAAGCTCCAGTCTGTGACCTTTGGAAAATTGGACAAACTTGAGTAATGTGCAGCGATCAAGTACATGCAGGGCTTAACCCCCAAAGTTTCCTTGTGATTTGAGTAGTAACTGGTATTTCAGTTATGGCAATGAAGTAAGGGATGGAAGCGCATTGGCACAGGCCGTAGATGTTTACTACGTTGGTGAAACACACAGGTACAGTGCTGCCATAGAGTACTGAATGAGAAACAGCTGAGGTTTAGACTATCAGCAGACTCGGGTACGGGGATGATGCCTAGCATAAACATCTAAGGGTCATTATTATCATGGTTTCAGCTCAGACTTGATGCTTTTAAGAAAAACATTGTGACAAAAACAGATTAATTTGCTTTGTTTTCAATTATAAGAAAATTTCCTAATGTGTATGTCGATAATGAATCCCTGGGCTAAACATGCTCCTAAAGTGTCAGGTTCATACTTTCAGTCAGTTTCAATGTAGCCAAGTTAAAGTAAACACAGCTGACAGACATTGCAGCAGCATACAATAAGCTGATTGGACTTTGACCCTAGAGAGCTACAGATGTAGTTTGTGAAATGGGCTACTGACTTCATTGGAGGGAGTGGAGACACAAAGGCAGTGGACTTGGCAGCCGTGATGTTTCTCTCCACCCGTGAAGGCTGGTGTGTCCTTTCCCACTCCTTCTTCTCATACTTCTTGTAACACAAGGGACATGGCACTTCATTCTTAACTGCAACCACAGAGACACTGGTTTACCAGTCACAAACAATTTTTTCAAAACAGGCAAGAAGATGAGATGTGTTTTAATATGCTACATACATTTCCAAGTAACAACAGACGATGACAACTGACGACAGCTGAACCAAATGTCCTGACAACTGTGTGAGTGAGTGAGTGAATGCTGTTAACTACCTACCGCCAGTCATCACTATCCCCCCTTTATAACTTGTTCTGCAGCCTGTGAGTAATCTAACATGGACAGGACAAACCAGCAGCTGAAAACCTACACAACACCGGACAAACTAAATCCCATTGTTAGAAAGGGTGGTGGTGACTTGTGGTGACTGGTGATGTCCCTCACCTGCTCGTTCCATGAGTAAGGGGTGTCCATGTTTCTTGGCAGCATCCAGGACCATGTCCCCCCTGATGTTGGGTACCTGCAGGTCTCCCCCATGCTGCAGACAGCAGTTCAAGCACTCCGCCCATCCCCCCTCTGCGGCGTAGTGGCCCGGAGTATTGCCAAAGTCTGCAACAGAGTTATTCTTTTCACATAGCACACTCAACAAGCACTGTAGCTCACTGAGTTAGTACTCCTGACCAAGTCAAGTCAAATACTGACCACATCACTAATGTTCCAGAGAAGACATATATGTATAAATAAACATGGTTAAGAGTAAAATTGAATTTTGAGAAAGCTGATTTATAGAATGTTAATATGGTTAATGATGCAGTCAGCAATATGCCTGTAAATAATTAAGCCTGGAACAGACAAACTCGTGACTGAAGGTATGAGGGATGCAACACTACAAGCATGATTAAAGTTTACAATCAGCCAATTCTGACCATCTGATCCTCTTGAAGTTGGCTATTATGACTAACAAGGGATACAGGGGGTGGTTACAAATACAAAGGATAAGTAGGTTTACGAACATTCCACAAAAGTCAGGCTCAAATTAGTTATTACAGCACTGTTCTAAGTGTCTGAAATTTCAATAGTATTGAAAATTTTACATTTGTAAATCTGGGGAGAGACTAGTCTGTAATGGGATGACTTCTACATGCTGAACTACATCATCCCGTGGGGGAGCGGGGGATAATAGGCGACAAGCAGCTGACGGACGGGGTGCTCCGAGACGTATGGTAGCCGTAATCATCACTGTAGCCGGGGTAGCGATGACTATGGCCCCTACTGTGCGTTTAGCAGATGTAAGTTGTGATACAGGTGCCCTGGTACTTGACGACGACTAGGTTTGGGCGGGAAAATCTCCGTGGAGAAAGGTGTCTGAAACCATCTCGTCTTCTACCAAAAGTGATCTGATGGTAGATGTAGGAAGCTGTTAGACGATTGCCTTGGCTGCCGAAGTGATAACTGTTTTTATAGTGACACGCTTAGGCTTCTTGGATGAATTAAAGACGTCCCTTGTTCTGCATCCCGTGACTTGGATCGTTGACTGAGGGATGTGTCTGACATTTACACAAATAGTGGTTGAAGGCTTCCTCTGAGAGATGTGCACATCAGGAACGGCGGTGACCAGGGTTGCAGATTCCACAGCAGTTGCAACCAAAGTTCATGTGGACCGCAAGGTGTAAAAAGTGCAGACACTTTTACAGGTGGGGCGCTTAATATTCTGATCAGTCACCATGTGGTAGATGTTGATATATATGAGGAAACTTAACAGCTAGTAAATAAATAGCATATGTAGCACAATAAAGACAAGTCAGGGAGGGTAAAATGGTTGTTGTGACACCCAATGAGAAAAATAGAATTCATGCAGTAAGTGTTTGTTGTCTTGATCAGCTAGATCAGTTCTAAATATACTTACAGTCCTGACAGTTTGCATCTGCCCCCTTCCCATACAGCCAGTGCAGCACCTCCACCGACCCATGGCCAGATGCCTGAAACACACACACTGGCTGAACATACATGAAGCCTACACTGAACGATGGCCAGATGCCTGAAACACACAATGGCTGAACATACATCAAGCCTACACTGAACCATGGCCAGATGCCTGAAACACACACACTGGCTGAACACACATCAAGTCTACACTGAACCATGGCCAGATGCCTGAAACACACACACTGGCTGAACACACATCAAGTCTACACTGAACCATGGCCAGATGCCTGAAACACACACACTGGCTGAACACACATCAAGTCTACACTGAACCATGGCCAGATGCCTGAAACACACACACTGGCTGAACATACATCAAGTCTACACTGAACCATGGCCAGATGCCTGAAACACACACACTGGCTGAACACACATCAAGTCTACACTGAACCATGGCCAGATGCCTGAAACACACACACTGGCTGAACATACATCAAGTCTACACTGGACCATGGTCAGATGCCTGAAACACACACACTGGCTGAACATACATCAAGTCTACATTGAGCCATGGCCAGTTGCCTGACACACACACTGGCTGAACATACATCAAGCCTACACTGAACCATGGTCAGATGCCTGAAACACACACACTGGCTGAACACACATCAAGTCTACACTGAACCATGGCCAGATGCCTGAAACACACACACTGGCTGAACACACATCAAGTCTACACTGAACCATGGCCAGATGCCTGAAACACACACACTAGCTGAACATACATCAAGTCTACACTGAACCCTGGCCAGATGCCTGAAACACACACACTGGCTGAACACACATCAAGTCTACACTGAACCATGGCCAGATGCCTGAAACACACACACTGGCTGAACACACATCAAGTCTACACTGAACCATGGCCAGATGCCTGAAACACACGCACTGGCTGAACATACATCAAGTCTACACTGAACCATGGCCAGATGCCTGAAACACACACACTGGCTGAACATACATCAAGTCTACACTGAACCATGGCCAGATGCCTGAAACACACACACTGGCTGAACATACATCAAGCCTACACTGAACCATGGCCAGATGCCTGAAACACACACACTGGCTGAACATACATCAAGTCTACACTGAACCATGGCCAGATGCCTGAAACACACACACTGGCTGAACATACATCAAGCCTACACTGAACCATGGCCAGATGCCGGAAATACACACACTGGCTGAACACACATCAAGTCTACACTGAACCATGGCCAGATGCCCGAAACACACACACTGGCTGGCCATACATCAAGTCTACACTGAACCATGGCCAGATGCCTGAAACACACACACTGGCTGAACACACATCAAGTCTACACTGAACCATGGCCAGATGCCTGAAACACACACACTGGCTGAACACACATCAAGTCTACACTGAACCATGGCCAGATGCCTGAAACACACACACTGGCTGAACACACATCAAGTCTACACTGAACCATGGCCAGATGCCTGAAACACACACACTGGCTGAACATACATCAAGTCTACACTGAACCCTGGCCAGATGCCTGAAACACACACACTGGCTGAACACACATCAAGTCTACACTGAACCATGGCCAGATGCCTGAAACACACACACTGGCTGAACACACATCAAGTCTACACTGAACCATGGCCAGATGCCTGAAACACACACACTGGCTGAACATACATCAAGTCTACACTGAACCATGGCCAGATGCCTGAAACACACACACTGGCTGAACACACATCAAGTCTACACTGAACCATGGCCAGATGCCTGAAACACACACACTGGCTGAACATACATCAAGCCTACACTGAACCATGGCCAGATGCCTGAAACACACACACTGGCTGAACATACATCAAGTCTACACTGAACCATGGCCAGATGCCTGAAACACACACACTGGCTGAACATACATCAAGCCTACACTGAACCATGGCCAGATGCCTGAAATACACACACTGGCTGAACACACATCAAGTCTACACTGAACCATGGCCAGATGCCTGAAACACACACACTGGCTGGCCATACATCAAGTCTACACTGAACCATGGCCAGATGCCTGAAACACACACACTGGCTGAACACACATCAAGTCTACACTGAACCATGGCCAGATGCCTGAAACACACACACTGGCTGAACATACATCAAGCCTACACTGAACCATGGCCAGATGCCTGAAACACACACACTGGCTGAACACACATCAAGTCTACACTGAACCATGGCCAGATGCCTGAAACACACACACTGGCTGAACATACATCAAGTCTACACTGAACCATGGCCAGATGCCTGAAACACACACACTGGCTGAACATACATCAAGTCTACACTGAACCATGGCCAGATGCCTGAAACACACACACTGGCTGAACATACATCAAGTCTACACTGAACCATGGCCAGATGCCTGAAACACACACACTGGCTGAACATACATCAAGTCTACACTGAACCATGGCCAGATGCCTGAAACACACACACTGGCTGAACATACATCAAGTCTACACTGAACCATGGCCAGATGCCTGAAACACACACACTGGCTGAACATACATCAAGTCTACACTGAACCATGGCCAGATGCCTGAAACACACACACTGGCTGAACATACATCAAGTCTACACTGAACCATGGCCAGATGCCTGAAACACACACACTGGCTGAACATACATCAAGTCTACACTGAACCATGGCCAGATGCCTGAAACACACACACTGGCTGAACATACATCAAGTCTACACTGAACCATGGCCAGATGCCTGAAACACACACACTGGCTGAACACACATCAAGTCTACACTGAACCATGGCCAGATGCCTGAAACACACACACTGGCTGAACATACATCAAGTCTACACTGAACCATGGCCAGATGCCTGAAACACACACACTGGCTGAACATACATCAAGTCTACACTGAACCATGGTCAGATGCCTGAAACACACACACTGGCTGAACATACATCAAGTCTACACTGAACCATGGCCAGATGCCTGAAACACACACACTGGCTGAACATACATCAAGTCTACACTGAACCATGGTCAGATGCCTGAAACACACACACTGGCTGAACATACATCAAGTCTACACTGAACCATGGCCAGATGCCTGAAACACACACACTGGCTGAACATACATCAAGTCTACACTGAACCATGGCCAGATGCCTGAAACACACACACTGGCTGAACATACATCAAGTCTACACTGAACCATGGCCAGATGCCTGAAACACACACACTGGCTGAACATACATCAAGTCTACACTGAACCATGGCCAGATGCCTGAAACACACACACTTGCTGAACATACATCAAGCCTACACTGAACCATGGCCAGATGCCTGAAACACACACACTGGCTGAACATACATCAAGTCTACACTGAACCATGGCCAGATGCCTGAAACACACACACTGGCTGAACATACATCAAGTCTACACTGGACCATGGTCAGATGCCTGAAACACACACACTGGCTGAACATACATCAAGTCTACACTGAACCATGGTCAGATGCCTGAAACACACACACTGGCTGAACATACATCAAGTCTACACTGAACCATGGCCAGATGCCTGAAACACACACACTGGCTGAACATACATCAAGTCTACACTGAACCATGGTCAGATGCCTGAAACACACACACTGGCTGAACATACATCAAGTCTACACTGAACCATGGCCAGATGCATGAAACACACACACTGGCTGAACATACATCAAGTCTACACTGAACCATGGCCAGATGCCTGAAACACACACACTGGCTGAACATACATCAAGTCTACACTGAACCATGGCCAGATGCCTGAAACACACACACTGGCTGAACATACATCAAGTCTACACTGAACCATGGCCAGATGCCTGAAACACACACACTTGCTGAACATACATCAAGCCTACACTGAACCATGGCCAGATGCCTGAAACACACACACTGGCTGAACATACATCAAGTCTACACTGAACCATGGCCAGATGCCTGAAACACACACACTGGCTGAACATACATCAAGTCTACACTGGACCATGGTCAGATGCCTGAAACACACACACTGGCTGAACATACATCAAGTCTACACTGATCCAATGGCCAGATGCCTGAAACACACACACTGGCTGAACACACATCAAGTCTACACTGAACCATGGCCAGATGCCTGAAACACACACACTGGCTGAACATACATCAAGTCTACACTGGACCATGGCCAGATGCCTGAAACACACGCACTGGCTGAACATACATCAAGTCTACACTGAACCATGGCCAGATGCCTGAAACACACACACTGGCTGAACATACATCAAGTCTACACTGAACCATGGCCAGATGCCTGAAACACACACACTGGCTGAACATACATCAAGTCTACACTGAACCATGGCCAGATGCCTGAAACACACACACTGGCTGAACATACATCAAGTCTACACTGAACCATGGCCAGATGCCTGAAACACACACACTGGCTGAAAATACATCAAGTCTACACTGGACCATGGCCAGATGCCTGAAACACACACACTGGCTGAACACACATCAAGTCTACACTGAACCATGGCCAGATGCCTGAAACACACACACTGGCTGAACATACATCAAGCCTACACTGAACCATGGCCAGATGCCTGAAACACACTCACTGGCTGGACATACATCAAGCCTACACTGAACCATGGTCAGATGCCTGAAACACACACACTGGCTGAACATACATCAATCCTACACTGAACCATGGCCAGATGCCTGAAACACACACACTGGCTGAACATACATCAAGTCTACACTGAACCATGGCCAGATGCCTGAAACACACACACTTGCTGAACATACATCAAGTCTACACTGAACCATGGCCAGATGCCTGAAACACACACACTGGCTGAACATACATCAAGTCTACACTGAACCATGGCCAGATGCCTGAAACACACACACTGGCTGAACATACATCAAGTCTACACTGAACC